CTGCACGGGGTTCGAACCAGCGGGGTTTTAAAAATGGCGTCTCCCCGCTTATGCAAATGAAGCCCGGGAAATTCAAATCCCGGGCTTCATTTGCAAGTGCGGTATGCCTACATTACCCTGCTAGTTCGAACTAGGAGGGTAGTGTAGACATACCCTGAGATACCCGGGGGCAGGAGGGCCAGTACTGACTGCTAGAGAGGGGCTCCTAGCACAGCATCCCCTTGTAGCCTTGCTGAGCGTCTCACCTGGTCATTTAGCCAGTTGGGGCCATAGAGCGTCTGGAGGTCGTCCATGGTCAGCACGTGGCGCTTATAATTCACCCGGAAGCCCCTCACCATGGCATTGCCTGGCATACGCTGGTATGACTGGATTAGGGAGGAGAGGGGAATGAGGAAGACAGGAGCATGGAACCCAGGAGTACTGGCTAACATCCCCCACTCCTTTAACTGTTAGCCCCCATTCACTTCCCAGAGCTGAGGAGAGAGTCCCAGTGCCCTGGCTCTCAGCCTCTGCCCACTCTAATCCCTCTCGGGTACCTCTGTGGTGTGGAGAACTCCTGCTGGAAAATGTCTTCTAGCTTCTCCACCACCTCGTCTGTGCTGACGGGGATGAGACTGCCATAGGCCTGAAGGAACTCATCTAGAATGCCTGTAGGTGGTGAGCAGCAAGATAGAATAGCTGAGGTGACAGTGCTGGGGCTGAGATGCAGCCACCTCTGGGATGGGGTGGCTAGTTACATGGGGACACCTCACCCAGCACTTAGATGCATCCACTTCTGGGGTTGGGCAACTGGTTACATGGGGACCCCTTGCCAAGCATTGAAATGCAGCCACCTCTGGGGGCAGAGTGGCTGTTCAGACAGTTATCCCTCCCCAAGACACTGTGCTTCCTTTCAGCTTGCATACAAAAAGCCAGAACGTGTACGTTATTGATGCTCATAACACACCCTCATCATGGCATCCAGTGACGTTAGAATCTGCCTGAGTTTGCAGGAATGGGATGTTCACTCTGAAATCCAGTGGCGATGCCAAAGTATTTCTGTGTCTTCACTGAGCATGGCTAGGGTCACAGCAGGGAATCACTCGGGTATGAAAGGGGAGGAACCCAGAATGGCCTGCTCTAGCTCCACCCCTTTACTTCGCCAGGCTGCTAAACTATGTCTGACAACTTGTGGCAGGAGGCCAGTGCTACACCCACGTTCTCCTGTGCTAGCCCCTCACTTTCTGAGCCCCATCACCTTCTGCTCCCTATATTACGGGGGTCCAGCAAGGGGGAGCACTCACTCTTCAGCCTGCTTACTCTGTACAAAAGTGACATGTTCCTCCCGCAACGGGCTGTGTTGAGCTGCCTTCTCTCCTGGGATCGCCTCTCTCTGGGGGACTCCGGGCCCATCCTTGTCCCGGGGGGTCCGGAAGAACTCCTCGACCATGTGGGCCCCACCAATGCTGCAGACGTTACTGATGACGATGCTAGGGTCTGAGGAGGCAGCGGCCAAGGCTCCGAGGTCGCCATCGGGAGCCAGGGAAGCAAAGCCATTGGGTAGGGCACTTGCAGGGCCTGAGGGAGGGGAAGAGGAGACATAGGCACCGTTACATGGAGGGAGAGGATGGGTGTAGGGAGTTCCCTATGTGTCAAATTCCACTCCTCCCCAAAGCAGCCTGGAGCCCCCACAACCAACGACACCCCTCCCCCCCCCCAGTTACCTGGATCCATGTCCAGCATCGGCTGTGCCTCTCTCCTGCTCCCAGGGGATGACAGCTCAGCTGGGAGCCGAGCGCCATCCTCCCCTGGCACCTCCATGCCAGCTTCCTTCTCAAAGGCCACCCGCTGCAGCTGGGTGTACTGTGGGTATGAGGTGGTACCAGGCTCTTCACCCATGAGCGCCCCCAGCAGACTGAGCCGGGGGGGTGAGGGGGCAAAGGCCCCGCCCAGGTGGTAGTTCAGTCGGGGTGAGGAGCGGGGCTGGAAGTGCAAGGGGCGGGGCCCCAGCTTGCCCCTGCCTTGGCAGTCCTCCTCCTCCAGAGGGCAGCTTTTCAGGTCGTAGTCAGGCTGTGAGCCAGGGGAGAGGGAAAAGGAGGAGCGAGTCCGCTCAGCTTGCCCCACAGCTTCCAGGGAAAGGCCAGAGAGGAGCATTTGGAATACAGCAGCATGCGGAAGGCCCGCCGGGCTCGCTGGCGCCGACGCAACTGACAGCGCCGTCTGGTGGCCGCCAGGGGCAGCAGCCGCCCCTCAGCCCCACTGGGAAAGGGCCAGTCCGGGCCTCTGCTCCTGGCCACCTTCTCTCCCGTGGTTTTGCTCCGGGCCCAGCCCGACATGCGAGGCAAGTCCCAGTCATCAGTGTCGCCATCCTCTTCCTCGCTGTCAAAGCCCGGGGGTTGCTCTTTGGTGTAGGCCAGCCGCCGCCCACCTTCAAAGCAGCCGCCATGCTTGGGGGTTGGGGGTTCAGGCTCCTCCCAGTCCTGGGATGCCAGGTGCAGCCTCTCTCGCTTGGGGGGCTCACAGAGCCCATGGTTTGGACCCCACATCTTCTTAGCCTGGATGTTTTCCTTCATGGCTCCGATGTGCCTATGGGGGAGGGGGACAGAGGTCAGGCTACCGTCCTTCTGCTTTACCAGATGTCAGGAAGACCCTCAATTCATTGCATCACCCCTTGTCTGAGCCTCAGTTTCTCCTGTGCTCCTGCTCTACTAGCTACTGGGAGAGAAAGGGAGGCAACACTGCCAAGAATAGGAGAATCACCACCAGGTCTGTGCTGTACCCTGCATAACAGAGGACCCCAATCACAGCTGGGGTCTGCCCAGGACCTGAAACAATGTGGGGGCCCCCTCCAATCTCGGATGGGCTGCCCAACCCAGTGAACGTACCCAAATCGCTATCTACACAGACCCAACCCAAATCTATCCAGGGCATCTGGGTCAATTGCGGGGGGGTATCCAAATTCTGGATTGGAGGGAACCTCGATGCTGGGGGACCTTAATGCTGGTCATATGGGGCCCATGCAGCACTCAGCATAAGTCCTCCTCTCAGAAAATTCTAGCACTATGAGAATGGACGCTCTTGAATCAATTTGGGGCTAGTTTGGCTGAATTTATTTTGCTCTCGGACAGGGATCTATTGATTCCAGACCAATTCGGGAGCCTCCACACTGAATGGGAGGAGGAAAATGCAACTATTGAATACAGGTGGCCAATTTGGAAAACGACTTGGCCACTGGCACTGGCTGGGGTGCTGTAGCCATACTGGTCCCAGGTTATGAAAGAGACAGACACCAGTTGCTGAGAGAAACGAGCACCCGTCTATACTGAAAAGCCCATCTTTCACCAGCAGCAGCTGGTCTAATAAAAGATGTTGTCTCGCTCCCCCCCAGTCTCAATACTGAATCACAATACGTGTGTCTGACAAAGTTCTATGAATCCTGTGCCCCACTGTAGTGTGCACAATTGAAGGATGTCAATTCATCAGTGCTCTGTCAGAGAACAGTTGTGCGAATGATTAAAAAAAACCCGTCTTAGACCAAGAGACTCAAAGATCTTGAGCTATTTAGCTTGACAAAGAGAAGATCAAAGGGAGATTCGATCACCATCTGTAAATATCTACACGGGGAACAAATATTCCCTAACTGGATCTTTAATCAGCAGAGGTCTAACACCGTCCAATAGCTGGTAGTTGATGCTAGAGAAATTCAGATGGGAAAAAAGGCGTACATTTGCAACAATGAGAGTAATTAATCACTAGAACAACTGACCAAAAGTCCTGGTGGATTGTCCATCACCGACAACATTTAAATCAAGGTCCAATGTTTCTCTAACAAATCTGCTCCAGGAATTAGTGCAGGGAAGGTCTCTGGACTGCGTTATGCAGGTGGTCAGACTAGATGATCATACTGGCAAGTCCTGGTCTTGGAATCTCTGAATGTATGCTGGAAATTCAGAGGTTTCTAACCATAGGATGAGTGAGATCCTGGAGCAGTCTCCCAATGAAGAGGGGGAGAGCAGGAACCTAAATGGTCTGAAGATGGTGCTTCATCAATTTAGGACAGGGTAGATAAAAATCAGTGATTAAAAAAAAATAAAAAATCTGATTTTTAATTTCAGTCACATTTTTTTTAATCGATACAATATTAAATTTCCCATTTAAAAGTAACAGTTACAGTTACATTTGATCACAAACATGCTACACCTACGCTTACAATCTCATAAAAATTACTGGCTCTAGTCTGTCCAGCCTAACAACCAGCTCTTGCTTCTTGAAAGTTCTGGGCTTTCAATTTTTGTTTCTCAGCAAATTAACATGTGCAAAGACAGACACAGACTAGATAGGGTTTTGTTCTGCGCTTATGTGGTGGCAGACCTGGAGCAAACATGGCAAAGCAGTTAGTTAAGACATTGTAAAAAGACAGACACACAATATATAGGAAAGTATTTGAGGCAGCATAGAAAGGAACAGTGGAGTGTACTGGAAAGAAATAGGGGAGACATTCAGCTCTCACACAGCTTCCTATGTTCCCCATCTCTTTTACTGCAGATAAACTCATGGGCGCAAGAGACCTCCCCCGCCACTGTCTGGGAATATTTTGAAGAAATTCATTCCCTGGGCAAAAAAGGAAAATGTGCCAAGTGTAAGCAGTGTAAGAAGATGATGCAGGGCCTAGCTGCAAGAATGGATCATAAAGAAAGCTGCTTATAGGGAGAAAATGATGAGGATATGGTTGAAGAACAATGTGGATCAACTTTGCAATACATCATTGCTCAAGACTCACTGTGATTTAACAACATTCTTAAGCTGTTGGCTACGTTGGATGTCGCTAGAAAAAACAAGTACAGCTAATGCTTATGGCTTGTTTAAATAGTTAACTGGGTTTATAATCTATCACCCAAATATACAGTACAGAAAACTGCAGTAAGAGAAATCTAGAGTTGCCAGAGTGTCGTTTTCTTATTTTATATGATACTAGAAGACTTACACGGCGTTGCCTGGGTCTGGCCTGGGGGGTAGCAGGAGAGGCCATGCAGGCTGCCAGCAGGCACTCCCTAGGCCCAGCCTGGGAGGAGGCATGCAGGCTGGCCCCCTGCGGCATTCCCTGGGCACAGGGGCAGGAGCTGTGCAGGCCAGCTCCCATGATCTGGTGGTGTTGGGGGGGAGGCAACCTGTGGCTCCTATTGGCTCACTGCCTGGTCCCGGCAGTGCTCCCAGGAGGAGGAGCTGTGGCAGTGGCACCGTGGCAATGGGGCTGGCAGAACTTTCCCCTTCTCCCTATCCCTCCGTCTGATCCTCCACTGGGAGGGAGGGGTTTGGTGCAGAGGTGCCACAGCAAGATGATGAACCCCGTCCACTGCTGGCCACTCCCTTCCTGGCGCAGCTGCCCCAGTGGTCACTCTGTGGTACCACTGTCCCCCATGCTCACTTTTCCCAGTGGCGACTCTGATCAGCCCCCTCCCTTTCCATTAGGGTTGCCAAGTGTCCGGTATTGAACTGGATAGTCCGTTATTTTTGCCTCCTGTCTGGTAAAAAAAATTCAGAAAATACTGGACACATAAAATGTCTGGTACTTTATGATTTTTCTTCCTGGCCAGAAGACAAAAATCCCGGGCTGTCTGGCTCAATACCGAGGCAGCCTGGCAACCCTAGTGCTTACTGGGTTCTGCAGGGGAGCTGTTCAGCCTGGCGCAGGGAGGCAAGATGGCGGGCGGCTGCCAGCAGCCTGTTAGAGCCAAAAAACCTCACCACATGTTTTTTAAAGGGAGCAGGTTTTTTTTTTTTTTCTGAAACCATCTGGCAACCCTACTTTCCATATTACTGAAAACAGTTGAATTCCAGGCATATCCCATTTTGCTGGTACACCAAAACCCCAAACTTGCTTTAAGTTAGGATAGGAGGAAGCTGCCTACCAAACTTGGTGCTCCTACCTGTTATCATTTAGGAGGAGTTCTTGAACAAACTGACTCACAGACAAGGCACAAATCTCTACAATTAAGATGGATGGGACGGGATGCCTCTTATTTTGGAACATCATGGCCACAGACCATAATGGTGATGCCATAAATCTATTTCCTAATTTACTTCAGCATAACTGAGCTTTCCCAAAGGAACCCCAACTTATACTTGTTTTCAATGGGCCTTACTCCAAAATTAAGTGCATTCTAAGCACAATCAGTCTTAGTTTTGGTAACTTGGAATCAGATCTGCATCAAAATGATACTGGGAGTGGAGGAGAGGAGGGGAGAGCTAGTGATAAAAGTTTTCAAAACACTGTACATTTAGGACATGTCTACACTAGGAAATTATTTCAAACTAAATTTGATTTAACTCCCAATTTTACAAAATCGAAATAGCATGTCCCCACAACAGGGAAGTCTGGAAATTAATCCGAGGCAGGCTCCATTAACCTCTACTTAGAGCCCCAGAAAGCACTGGACAGTAATTAGTTTGAATTACTCTGGGGAGTAGTTATTTCGAAATAGCAGCACCAGAGCATCCACATTAACGCTATTTCAAAAGAACTATTTTGAAATTAGCAGTATTCCCCAAGGAAAGCAGAAGTTCAGATTTTAAAATAGGTAGCCCGTTATTTCAAAATAACAGGTTTAGTAATGTTATAAAAAATTCGACCTAAAGGAACAGCCAGGAGGTGGGGCCTGAACGAGCGTACACCTCTGACATTGGGAAAGGGCGCCGGATTCAAAAGGAGGAAAGCGGAGGACAGACAGAGGAGGTGGAGGACTGCGAGAGAGATAGTGAGAGACACGCAGCAGGAGGAGGAGAAGAGAAACAGAGTGAGAGGCAGTAGGGGAAGAAGAGAAAGAAGGAGAGAGAGGCAGGAGATGGACGAGAGCTAAGAGAGAGAGAAGGCGAGGCAGTAGGAGGAGAAGAGTGAGAGGCCATTTGCTCCACTTGCTCCCGCGCAGTGGCACAGCTGAGCGGCGCAGAAGTCAGCTGAGCACCATGGCAGGAGGCGAAGGGGGGCAGGGTGGTGACATACACGCCCGGGGGCAGGGTCTGGACGAGCGTGCATCCCCAATGGAGTCAGAAGGAGGAGGAGAAGAGAAAGGGAGAGTGAGAGGCAGGAGGGGGAGAAGAGAAAGAGAGAGACGGAGACAGAAGCAGAAGGCGGAGGAGAGCTGAGAGAGAGAGAGAGAGAGAGAGACGGAGCGAGAGTCCAAAGGCTCAGGAGAGAAAACCAGTGTGGTGGAGAGACCTGAAAATCCCATCTTATAATGGGCTAATTGGGTAGTGTCTGATAGAGTTAATAAAATTTGAAAATGGGGAAAAAAAAAAAAAAAGAGTTTAAGGCCAGCCGTCAGCCAGCAACTCAGGAAACCGTTGCAATTGCAAATGTGAAATGTTTATGGAACATTTAAGATTTAATTTAATAAAATGTAAGAACTAATGTGTTCATGTGTATATGATTGAGGTCTTACCATTCCTAATGTAATGCTGCTGCATGAGTATTATGTGCTATTTCCTAAATTAATAAAAATCAAGTTATCTAAAAAAAAAAAAAAAAAAATCACACAACATATACCCTCTTAGATAGTGTAGAATGCTGTACTGAGCTGTAAATTAACATGTTTTAGTAACCACATTTGCACCATTGTGTGAAGAAATATGTGTAGTAGTATCAGTGGGAAATTTGATTTAAATCAATGATTTTTTTTTCGTGATTTAAATCACACTGATTTAAATCAATCCACCCTGATTTAGAACAGGATTATCTGACGCATAGGAGATCTAGTCTTGATGGTGTAAGAGGTCCATTCCAGTTCTGTTAGACACCTGTGCAATGCTGGAATTTCCAGACCATAGCCCACCAGCATCAGACATTTCCCACAAACATGAAAAAACCCTACAGATAAATTACCCCCTACAAAGTCTATCTTGATTTCTGATAAGTAGAAATTAGCTTAAATCTCTGAAGCATGAGGTAGATTTAACTGCTCTTCCAAAACTCATTTGCATTCACTAGTCTAACTCTGGATAGTCTGATCATCCACAAAGTTGACAAATTCTTCGTTGAATCTTGTTACATTGTTGGCCTCAATTAACGTCCTGTAGCAGAGAGTTCCACCAGTTAACCAGGGTTAGACAATATGTGCGAAAGAACTTTCTTTGATAAGTTTTAAATTCGTCACCTTTTCATTTCATTGATTGTTCCCTTGTTACTGTATCAACAAAATTAAACAGAAGTTCACAATTTATCTTCTTTATTCCAATGTTTTTAGGCATTGCAGAATTTGATTTGATATTTTATATAATTGATGGATAATACTAAAGTGTATTTTAAGCCCCTGCCCTGATTTTTATCTATCTGATTTTTCATAATGCATAAGATTATGAGTTAAAAGTTTTTCTGATATGTATCTATTTCAATTTTCACAGCTGGAGTGGCTCAATATTTTAGTGACAGTAAATGCTGAGATTCAAAGGCTAAAGACTTACAACTGCTTCAAACAGACTGTCAAGACCACATCTCAAAACTAATTTAAGGATATTTCCCTTGTCTAATTCTACTTGTCAAGCGGCATTTTTCTCTCTTTGCCTATCCATAAATTTCTATTATGATCAATGGAAATATTTTCTGATAGGTTTTTGTGAGTACTGTGAAATTGACTTTGACCTTAGGTTCTTACTATGTTTAAATCTCAGCTCTTACTACATTTAAACTGCAGAGCTGCAGCAGGGGGTAGTGCCTTCCCTTATCGACTAGTTGTGTAGTCGACACAAATTGTATTGACTACATGATTACCCAGCTACCTGCCTTTTACATCCTTAATCACTATCCCTCTTATTTATCTCCTAAGATTCTTTTTTAGAAGGTTGTTTGATTACAGTTCTGCGGAGAAAATTCCAAGTACTAAATTCTTTAACATAGCAAGGAAAGGCAGATCAAAATTTAATGGCTGGAAGTTGAAGTCAAATTCCAATACAGTAACAATAAGGGGGAGTTGCCTTTGGGAGTTTATCCTACTGAACTCTTCCAAGACAGACTTGATACCTTTTTGGAAGACGTTGTATAGTCCAACACAAGTTAGCAGGTAACACTTAATGGTGATATGCAGGCCAGACTCCTTAGATAATCTGATGTTCCTTCTGGGCTTGAAATCTAATTGTACAAGCACCTTTCTACCAATATATTTGTGTCCACACTAAGGATGTTTAGCGGGTATTTCACTAATTGAATAGTCAATGCATTTTTGCATCGACTACTTGATAGGGCAGTGCTGTGGTTTCAAAGGGGCAGTGCTGCGCAGAGCCCAAGATCAGCTGGGGACTCCCCAGCTGACCCCGAGCTCCATGCGGCGCTGCCGCTTTGAAAGGCTGCTGTGGCATTTCAAAGGGACAGCACCACACAGCTGATCCTAGGTTTAGCGCCACACAAAGCCTGGGGACAGCTGGGGACTCCAGCTTACCCCAGGTTCCGTGGTGAGCTGCCCCTTAGAAACACCATTGCGGCATTTAAAAGCATCAGTGCCGCACGGAACCCAGACTCCCCGTGGCGCTGCTGTTTGAAGTACAATCCCTGTTCCCCTACCTTGCTGCCTCTATCTGATAGAGGCAGCAAGGGGAGGGGGGAGCAACTAGTGAACTATCCTGTTAACTATCCAATAAGCATTTGCTTATCAGATAGTTGACTAGTCCTTAACATCCATAGTCCACACTAAAGGACAGGTCTATATTGTTTCAAATCAGTATAACTCCATTGCTCAGGCATGTGAAAAATCCACCACACTGAGTGACGCAGTTATACCGACCTCATCCACGGGTGTTGGCAGTGCTAATTCCAATTCTAGTCATCAAGTAGTTCTCCTGTCCACTCTTGCAGAGGTAGAATAACTACACCGATGGGATAGTTTATCCGGTGGGCATGACAGTGTCTTAATTGAATGCACAATGGTCGTACTAGTGTGGCTCTGTACACGTGGCCAAGCCTTGAGGCTACATCTGCATTACAAACATCTGCCAGTTCAGCTTTGTTGGTCAAGGGTATGAAGAGATGCGATACATGACAGACCCAGCTGTGTGGGCAGAAACCCCTAATACAGTGGTGGGAAAAGGGCCTCCGCCAGCCGGATATGGCCCGCCAAGGAGTAGATTCAGGCCACAGAGGCCCTGCTACTCCCCTGCCCCCAGACCAATCAGGGCGGGGGAGTGCACAAAGCCTTCTACACTCTGCCCCCGCACTGCAAGCAGCGTGTAGTGATTGAAAGCGCCGCATGGTCCTGGCAGGGCGGGAGGAAACTTCATGTGCTCCCCCAACCCCAGGCCTGAATTGGCCTGGGGGCGAGGGAACTGCCAGGAGCACACAGCGCTATGAAGTGCCGTGCGCTGCTTGCAGGGTGGTGATAGAGTACAGAAGGCTTCTATTGCTCCCCTGCCCCCAAGCCGTAATTGGCTTAAGGGAAGGGGAACGAGGGAAATCTCCTCCCACACCAGGGGCATGGGCACTTTGGGAGAACTTGGGGTGGGGCAAAGGCACTCCCTCACCTCCAGACCAATCATTGTCTGAGGTGGAGAACCCAGAAATATCTTGCCCCTCCCCCCTTCTGCTCGATGCCCTGCCCCTTCCTGTGCAGCTGGGGCCACTTCAAAAATTTTCGAAGTGGCCCCCCGTCAAAAAATTATTGCCCACCCCTGCCCTAATCAGTGCTCCCTGTGAGCTGAGTGTTTGGGCAGCAATCTGCATGTTTCGATGCACATAAAATTTATTCAAGACATAGATGGAAAAAATTAGAGGGAACATCGCCTAGCATACAGGCAACCACATTGGGAGAGCTATCCTATTACCAGTATAACTTGTCTCACTCTTAGAGGGGTGATTTTAATATACAGAATAACTCCCATTCCTCTGAAACCCTTTAGCCAAACCTCTGCATTACCCAAATTCCCCGCAATGTTAACCGACAATGAAGGGATCTGAATAACACTGAGATTTGGATAATAAAAGTAGAGACCCCTGGGCAGGCCTGAGAAGATGAGAACTCCCACTCTAGATTCAATTTTCTTACCCAAATAAATTCTGGGTCCCTCATGCATTTCAGAAAATTGGGAGTGTATTTGTACTATACCAGTATAAAGTGGGGCTTTACCCAAAGAGTGGCATCCACCCCAGCAGCACTTTGCTAGTTTTCCTACCGGGGAAAAGCATGCCTAATGTAGACATGATCCGCCACTGAAACAGGAGGATTTCGATTGGTAGGCACAGCAAAAATGTGATCTCCCTGGCACGGAGGAAAGAGGCAATGGGGGACACACAGAGTCACTGGCATGGAGGAGACTGGGGGCAGCCTGACATGGGAAATGGCAGAATGGAGAGGGCAATGGAGGATTCCTTGTTATGAAGGGAGGAGGGAACTGGGGTGCACAGAGCCATTAGCATAATGAATAAAAATGGGGTGCACAGAACCTCTGGCATAAGAGAAAGTGAAGGTCTCCAGTACAGAGGGAGGAAGAGTAGAGAAATCCGATCGCCTAGAGTGGGAGAATATTAGGGTTCCTGCCATGGAGGAAGCAGGCATTGAAAAAGACAGAGAGCCCCTTGCATGGGAGAGAATGGAGTAAGGATACAGACAGAGCCCTTGGTATGGGTAAGATCCAAAAGAGCTGCAGCAGGAGCGCTGAAATAAAGGAGGATGGGAGGATGGTCTCAGGGAACTTGTCCAGGACATGGAATGGTAGGAAGCAAAGAGCTGATGATGTGCACAATGAGCTTGACTAATCAAGCTATGGCATGTGTGTGCACTAGGGATATAAAAGTGTAGTTGATTAACCAATAAGCAAAAACTTAAAGGTTAATGCTATAGACTACACATATTCCCCGCATTCCCCACTTGCCTGTACATTTTTTTAGCAGTCTGGCCAGCAGCCCAGTTCAGTCCTGGCTTGCGACAGGTCTGGGACCTACCCCCACTGCAGCTCTGCATTTAAAGTGTATTAGGAACTGGGCAGTCAGGCAGGCCAGCTCAGTTTCGGCTCACACCGGATCCGGGGCTCAGACAATGAGGAACTGCTGCCACCTCACGCCACTGCCTCTATCACAGGCAGACATCCAGAAGGGGAGCTGGTTTTTAAACTGTCTCTACTTGCGGACCAGCTCCCACCTGGCACCCCACACTGTTGTCTCTGATACAGCAGCAGCAATGTGGAGTGGCAAGGGTCTTCTGGAGAGCAAGGCTGGAGTGCACTGGCTGCCAGCCCTGGCCCCAGGGACTACAGATAGTTGACTGACTAAGAATTCATGAGGTTACTCAACTATTCAATTAACCGATATTTAACATTCCTAACATGAACTTTAGGGTCCTGGGAATGGACTGGGATGCCAGTGTGCTAGGCACCATACAAACCCAGAACAAAGACGGGGCAGATATGGGCACAGAACAGTAGGAGAGCATAAGGAAATGAGGGGTCTGCACCAGACAGTGGAATAGGAACACTAGTGGCCTCACTAATAAAATTCCAATGGGCAGCATAGCTCAGGAAACTTTGAAGGAGGACTGAGAGGTGGCTGTGCACATATTCAGGGAGAGCAGTGGAAGCCGGTATCATAAGCTCATCTGAAATAGGAGGTGCTTTCTCAATAGCTAGGTGTAGTAAGGATAGAGTGGGAAGTACCAGGACCAATGTTTCCTATAGGCTGAGCACTTAGGCGGCCACCTAGGAGAGATTCAAATGCTTCCCAGTGGATTAGCAAGCACCCACAGCCAGTAGCATGTGTATCTACTTGTGGTGCACATCTACACATGCCCCAGTGCATATAAAATTTATTCCACACACGGATGGGGAAAATTAGAGGGAACATTGGCCGGGACAGCTAAGACAAGCAGGCAATAGAGATAGGAAGATGCAAATAAATGGGGTGGCACAGGGAAAGCCTGCGAACTTTGCAGACATGTTCTGAATGTAGATGGGTGGGGCAAGAGCATATCTGTAGAACCTGAGAGAAGACCACACTGACCAAATTCACACACGGCCTATAGACGGAAGGCCTGAGACAGAGCATAACCACTGAACACTGGGGTGTTTTAAGTAAATCCACATCAGAGCAACAAGCCCCTGACAGCAGTGACAGGATCTCTGGCATCTCCCCCAGTGATCGGGGGAAGGAGTGAATCCAGGGGCCATGCCTCTTGCTCCCCTAGTCACAGTGATAAGAAAGGGAGGTCCCCAGCTCCCCAGTGCACAGAGGGTGAGGTGTTGGGCACTTTAGGGTGCACAAGGTGGGGCTGCTGCTCTCAGGGCCACCCCTGCCAGTCCCACCTGTGGGTGGGGGGAGGAAGGCCAGGA